GGAGTCGTAGAAGGCGGACTGCGGCAGCATGTGCCACCGAATGTGGAGCTGCAGCTTTTGCTGCCGCCGTTCTTCACTCCCATTTCCATTCCCATTCCCACTAGCATTTTATTTTTTTTTTCGCCAGCTCTTGTTGGTTTTATGCTGGCAGCGTGTATATTTAATTAAAACAGGATTAATCTAGCAGAAACAATACTTCACTAAATGCAGCACAGAAGCAGGAGCGAACTGAGCTGAGCTGCCTGTGGTCCACGACTCCAGCTTTAGCTCCATTTCCAGTTTCGGCTTCAGATTCAGCCTGCGGCTTGGCTAACAGACTCGTTGGCTTGCCTGCCAGGCGGATTGTGGGGGGAAACTCGTGGGAAAGCGGAGGAAAAGCGGCAGGAAAACCGGCAGCTCGCTGGGTTATGATGGAGGTGCAGTTTTTCGGGGAAAGGGGCTGACCTGGCTGCCAGATTCGCCCAGGCTTAACACAAACAATGGCGTTAACTGCTCAGCCTCGCTCACTCACTCACACACACACACTGAAGGAAAAAACATGGAGATTATTTCTTCTGTTTAAGGAAGACTTCCTGTTTGACTTGCACTTCTTCAAGTTTTATTAAAGTTTTATATGCAATTTAGGAAATTTTAAGAACAGAAATAGAATTTTGTATAATATACAAGGCAATTGCAGGAATTTTATCCCACTAAAGCATCTATTGGTATATATTGTTATTAAAAATTTTTAATTCGAAAATTCATAAAGGTTGTTTAATGTTGGTTCTAACAATTTTAAGATATTAGCATTGGCATTTAATGTTAAGTCAAAGGAGAAGCTGAGCTAAAAATAATTGGCATGATCAAAACGAATTTTAAATGAAAAATTAAGTAAACATCAAATCTAGAATCTTTTGAGCTGTGCACACACCCACACACACACACACATATATACACAAACAACGACACCCACTCGTCAGCTTTAATGCAGTGCGGGCCCCAAAAAGTGTGCTACGCTTTTTGATACGTTATGCAGATCCTTGGCAGAGCGCCGCCGACAGCTTAGCAGCGCGCTTTCAATCATTCAACTTCAGCCGGGGTTGAGCGGTGACTCCACAGAGGAGTGCTCCTCCGACTGTGGGGCCTGCGTTGCCAATCAAGGAAATTGCGTGCTCACATGTTAAACGGGGCGGATGAGGGGTGCCAAAACAGGACAAATGGGAGCGAAAGAAAAACAGGAAAGTGGGCGAAACGCTTTTCGGCCATTTACTATCGACTTTAATTAATATTTACCTCTGGCTGAGCTAACAGAGCTAACAGAGAGCTGCCTTTCAGCGGCGACTATTAGCTGGGGCAAACAGTTTTAACAGCTTTTGCGGATGTTTTGACTTTTAGTCCATCGGGCCACATCAAAAACTTGACTCGAACTCAAACTCAAGCGCAAGTCAAACGGAGGGCAAATAAACAAAATATATGCCAAAGCGCTGGCAAATTTCATCGCTCGCTCGCTAGCTCGGTTGCCCAATATTATTTCTTTTTTAATATTTTGACCAACGGAAAGAAAACAACTCGCACAGAGGAAGATTGAAATTCAAGAGCCGCACAAAAAGAAAACTCGAAAACTAAGGAACCAAGAACCAGAACAAGAGCCGACTGAACCTAGCAAAATCCACACCAGGAAGTGCTATACACAGGCAATGCCAACAGCAACATCAGCAACAGCAACACCAACAACAGCAACACCAACAACAGCAACACCAACAACAGCAACAGCAACAGCAACAAGAACAAGAAGAGCAACAAAAACAACGGCAACATGAGTCGAAATTGTAGTTGTACAAACACGTCAGCTTTTAAATTACTTGGCCTAAAGGTAAATTGAGCGGAAGTTAAAATGTTGGAAAAACAGCACGAAAAAAGCAAAACCAAAAACACGGCTGGCTGGCTGGTCGGTGGGTGGATCATGGGTGGTGCTTTTTCCTGGGTGGCTTGCGGGTGGTCGGTGTAACGGAATACAGTGCCAGTTAAGTGGAGAAAAAGGGAAAGGCGGTGTCCATAACAACAACAACAGCAACAACAGCAATAACAACAAGAAGAAGGAAAAAATGCCGAGCTGGTGGAGAGAAAGGCGGCACACGGCAAATTTGCCGGGAGTAAACGCAAGAATAATAACAACCGAAAGCAAGTTTTTCGGCTCAAGTTGTGCTGCTATGAAATTCAGTGGCATACAGAACGTAATTTCAACTAAACGAACCGACAAACAAAAACAAACAAACAAACAGCAGCGAAATATTATTTTAGCCGGCTTGCATCCTTCCTGCAGCCTTGCGGCCAACAGGAACCAACAGCAAACCTGCAACCAGAAACGCAGGAGAGAGAGGAGATCCTTTGCCTGCCTCTCCTCTAGCTGCCGCCAACTCATACACCTCGGCATTCATATGCCGGCGGGATAAGTTGGCGAAATTGTGCAATAATAAAATATTTGCAATGTACTCGAAGCGCGGCAGCAGCGGTGGCAGCGGCGACTACTGTGGATGTGCCAGTGGCAAGCGACAGCGGGCTGGCAACTGCATTTTCATAAAGTGCAGCTCATAATAAAGCCGCGGGTGGGTCGACGGTGTATGGTGTGGTGCACGGTGGATCCCTGAGTCGCCACCCCTCGGGGTCCAAATAAAAAAAAGAAAGGCAGAAATAAATATGAGCAGCAGCCAACGGGAGCGGCAGCAACAAGCCGAACCAAAACAAACAACAATGGGGCAAGCAAGAGCCAAAACAGAAAACCAAAAACAAAACAATACAAAGGCAATGGCAATGGGTATGGGAATGGGTATGGCAATGGGAAAAAATATAATAAAACCCGCGAAAATATTTGCAGCGGGCATTGAGAAATGTTGCGCAATAAAAATTGCATTTTTATGCTGATGTTTGAATTTCGCATGCAAATGAAAAACGAACAGTGCCAACCGAAAAATAACAGCCACCATTCGCTGGCCATCGGTGGGCTCGACCATTGGGTTACCCGACATCCGATATCCGACTCAACACTATCTAATTCGGTGGAAAGAAAAGCTTGAAAGGGAAATGTCACAACAGTATCAATACACATTTCTATTTCTATTTACAGTGGCTCGCAGCTTATTTCGTGCAGTTACCTAAAAAAAGTTCAAATCGTTATTCCTGCTAAACTAAAAAAGATAACCGAAAAATTTAAACGCAGTATTTTAATATGGAATATTAACTTATTTATTGAACGAAAGCGATTTTCTTAATCATAAAAACAAAAAAATTATTTAATAAAAACAAAATGTACAGGGTTTTTCGATGCCGCAGCTTATTTCGTGCAGCAGATTCTACTTAACTTATTATTAGTAATTTAACAGATACGGTTTTGTATGTCCATTTTTCTGGTTCAGGACATCTTTGAGATGATTTCCCATGGAGCAAAATAACTTTTTAGTGGTTTCCAGTGGAATTTTTTGCCATTCTTCCATAAGAACAGTTTTCAGGTCGTTTTTGATCGAAATCTTCCTCTTCCTTATAGCGATGTCCAATATTTCCCAAAAATTTTGGATCTCATTTAAATCTGGAGACTGTGCTGGCGTTATAACGACATGTAGGTAGTTCCAGATAACCCAAGACTTCAGAATTCCTGCTGAATGCTTCGGATCGTTGTCCTGGTAAAATCGAAAACGATCGCGTATGCCCAGTCTTTTAGCAGTTTGGAGTAGGTTATCCTCTAAAATGTTGAGGTACATTGTAGCGTCCTTGATGCCATCTATAAAAATGAGTTTGCCCATGCCAGAGACTGCCTTACAGGCCCAAACAATGGCCTGACCAGCGCCATGTTTGACCGTAGGTTTCAGGTGCTTATTTTCAAACTCTGTATTTGGTCGCCACCACACAAATTGTCGTCCATCTGAACCAAAAATGTTACATTTTGACTCGTCAGCAAAAATAAAGTCATCCCAGAACAAAATCGGTGAAAGTATGTGCTCCTGTGACCAAATACAGAGTTTGAAAATAAGCACCTGAAACCTACGGTCAAACATGGCGCTGGTCAGGCCATTGTTTGGGCCTGTAAGGCAGTCTCTGGCATGGGCAAACTCATTTTTATAGATGGCATCAAGGACGCTACAATGTACCTCAACATTTTAGAGGATAACCTACTCCAAACTGCTAAAAGACTGGGCATACGCGATCGTTTTCGATTTTACCAGGACAACGATCCGAAGCATTCAGCAGGAATTCTGAAGTCTTGGGTTATCTGGAACTACCTACATGTCGTTATAACGCCAGCACAGTCTCCAGATTTAAATGAGATCCAAAATTTTTGGGAAATATTGGACATCGCTATAAGGAAGAGGAAGATTTCGATCAAAAACGACCTGAAAACTGTTCTTATGGAAGAATGGCAAAAAATTCCACTGGAAACCACTAAAAAGTTATTTTGCTCCATGGGAAATCATCTCAAAGATGTCCTGAACCAGAAAAATGGACATACAAAACCGTATCTGTTAAATTACTAATAATAAGTTAAGTAGAATCTGCTGCACGAAATAAGCTGCGGCATCGAAAAACCCTGTACATTTTGTTTTTATTAAATAATTTTTTTGTTTTTATGATTAAGAAAATCGCTTTCGTTCAATAAATAAGTTAATATTCCATATTAAAATACTGCGTTTAAATTTTTCGGTTATCTTTTTTAGTTTAGCAGGAATAACGATTTGAACTTTTTTAGGTAACTGCACGAAATAAGCTGCGAGCCACTGTATATCTACCAAACTCTTTTTATCATTTTTCATCGCAATCGAATGTCGCCAAAAATGTCTATTTTTTTGAGCAGCAGCTGTCAATCATCAAATTATGCGGGTTTTGACAAGCAAAATGACGAGCAAATCGTTGATATTTTTAGTTTTAGCTTGTCAAATGATAAAAGCAAAGAGTTTATGTTTATATTCTTTTAAATTTGATTAAATAGTTTCTTTTATTTATATTTTGTGTCGCTGTAGCATCAGGTAATTTTCAAATCAAATGAAATGTAAAACAGTTATTTAAAAATCGTAAGGCAATGGCTTTTCCATTCCCATGACCTACAAATAATCCTTTGTTTATTGCAAAAAGAAATACGATAATTGAACCATCCACTAGCAAAGCGAATGGCACTATAGTCAATTGCAGTTTGGCGGGCAAATGGAGTGGATTTAATACGCCTTTGATACCCTCTGACTGCCGTGTGGCATAGACAACAAAATGGTCTGGAAATAAAAGGGAACCTGGCTAGGAATCTCGGGGCAGGAAGTGGCACTACCGCTACCGTTGCCGTCGCCGTTCGCCGCCGCCTTTGCCGCTCTCCTCGGCTTTCCCGGCTTTTCTCCCGCCTTTCCACCTCGCTTCTCCCCCGGCTTTTCCCTCGCTCTTTTGCCGGCTTTCCCCGCTGTCAGTGCTTCACGGCTTAGCCGAGACTTTGCGCCCACGCTCCACGTGTTTATGACTTTGAATTGCAACTTCATCCGCCGTGTGGGCCGCCGTAGCCCTTAGCTCTTGCTGTTGTTGTTGTTGTTGCTGTTGCTGTTGCAGTAGTTGTTGCTGCTGCTGTTGCAGTTGTTGCTGCTATTGTAGCCGTGTGCCGTTCGCTGTCGGTTGCAATGATGGCGGCGCATAGCGCGCATTGTGACGCGAAATGGCGTCGAGTTGAATAATCCAACATGGCGTTTTGCCGCCGACGCCGAGAGCTTCACTAGCTGCACTGGTATTTGTGTTCTGTGTGTTGCCAGTGTATTTGTGTTCTGTGTGCGCCTGTATGCGTTGTGTTGTCTGTTTCCGGCAGCCGGATAAAAAACTTGGCGTTAAAGTGTTAATATTTTGAGTTTTGAGAGCGGACTGGCAGGACATGCAAATGCTGTACTGAAACAACGTCTGAGAATGGTTAAAAGGAAGGGTGGGAAAAGGGGAGAGGGATAGGGCGGAAAGGGGGGATTTGGGGGGTCAGAGGTCGGGACTCCGAGGAGCGACAGCTTCGACGCTGTTTCCCCTCGACGCTGACACTTGTTCAATTCAAATAGCACGCCAGAGCCACGACATTGATGTCCTGGCACGGCATTCCGCCGCTTTTCCGCTTTTCAGCTTTTCAGGCTTTTCGGGCCTAGCTCCGTGTGGAATGGCGTGTCCCGGCGAGCCGCATTTATGTTATCTTTAATTTTTCACAACGAAATTGGCCGTGGGAGTGCAGTTCGAATTGCCAGACAACAAGCATATTTATTTATATTGCCCCCGCCGCTCGACCCCAATGCGAACTGTCATGAGGCACAAGGAGTGAGAGGCAGAGAGCAGGGATCAGGGAGCAAGGGGCAGGACTGCCGTGGCACTTCAGTTGCCCTGAAATGCGAGAAATGGAGCAATCGAAGGGGACTTTTTGTAATCTGAAGGGAGAAGATCAAGTTGAAGTTGTCTAATGGGCAGTAACACTCAGAGACTCGAAGAAACGCTGTCAATTTAATGATATTTTCTATGATACCAGTAGAGGTTAATTGAAGAACATAGCTTATTAAATAGTAATAGCAATAGTAATTCTAGTAACTACCACTATTACATCAATCAATTATTTATTTATATATATGTTAACCCATTTAATTTCAAACAATAATTGGTTATCTTTGGTAATTAATTGAAATTGAGAACTCATTATAACTTATGTTGCTATGTTGGTTATTAAGCTAAGTAGTTACAGAAGACAGTATTAACAGACACTTAAAGTCTCTTCTTAAAACTATTGATGCCTAAAATTTTCAAGTCGACCTACCTTTGTACCAACATTACCACCAATTATGTGTACATTTGACTATTGGCCACGAAATAGCTTTGCAATTCGGCTGGTCGAAACCAATGGCGCGTTAACGCTTGGCTCACAACCAATGTTTGGCCATCGGCCATTCGATGAGCAGCAGAACTCACGGAAGAGCGGGCACAATTGACGTCTTGGCAAATTAATCAGTCGGCCATTGAATCGGTGGTCAGTCTGCACAAGTACCTCCAATTAGACCGCTGCGGTCCATGTTCGCTTAGCTGGAAAGCTGGAAACTGCCAGAGTTAAACGGAAATGCCATGAATACCAAAACTGAATGACAAATAAGGCATCATCATGCGGCGGAGGCCAATTAAATGGTTTCTTTCCATTCCTTTGTCGGTTTATCGCCGATTGGCCGGTGTAAATTTCAGTTTTACTTAAAAATTAATTATCAACAGGCTGCGATCGGCTTGTTGACTTTGCCGACAGTCCGGTCATGTCACATTAACCATACGCACTGTGTGCGCAATGCATAACTGCCGGCCAGCCAAGCAATCAGGCGAACTGCCACCAAAGTCCCCACATCCCCCTCCCTGAAATCCACCTCCTCTTCGTCCCCCCAAACAAACAGCCGACAAACCAATTCCCGAGTCCAGCAAACAACTTGCCAGACTTGCCAGCAAAAAAAACACAAAAAGCAATGAAAAAAACTCGCGGATTGTCAGGCTGGCGTTTAAAACCAGTTCGCATCAATTTAAGCGGACATATGCTTAACTTTACTTGCGGTGATTTTTCAACTTGGCCCGCAGAGTTGCAGTTGCAGGTAGTTTGCCATCAGTTACCTGAATCACCTCCGTCTCCTCTTCTCCTTTTTTTCCAGCCGGGAGGACAACAACGCGAGCGTCTGAGTGGAGTGCTTTGCACATTGACAGCGTTAATTAACTTTTAATTTAATTTCGCGTAAATGAGTTTTTACTGTCAGCGCGCGTTGCTTTATTTAAGCTGACAAAAAACGCAATTTGCAATGCATGAAAGAGAGAGAGAGATAGAGAAAGAGAGAGAGAGAGAGAGAACGATCGAGCGAGCATGCTTTTAAGCGCGGTTTTCAAATGTGGCTGCGATGTCGTCAGCCAGTGTCAATTTATGCCGCCAAAGTGAAAATCCAAACTGAAAGATTTATGCAGGCGACACACACACACACACATACATGTGAGGCATCATACACACACTCACATATATTTTATTTATATTTTTCGCTTGGCAAATGTGATTTATACGAAAAATCTCGGCAACAACGCGAAACGGTGTGCGTGTGAAATATTTTGCAGCGTTTGAGCGTTTTTAAATTCAATTTCCAGTCCGGTCGAGAGTGAGATGCAGACGCCGCTGCAGTTGCAGTTGCAGATTCGTGGCGAGATTCAGATGTCGATGTGATGTCGAGGCCAGCCGTTGCATAAATAAGCGCTTTAGACCACTGTGCAAATGGGGGGAAAAAAGCGGTAAAAAGTGAGGGAAAATAGGGGAAAGCGGGGGGAAAAGCAGCAGTGCAGAGTGGAGTGAAGAGTTGAGTTCGAGTTTCGGTCGCACAGAAGGTGTGTGTTTTATTAATTGCCAGCGCCAATGCCGCAGTCGCCGCAGCAGCCGCGGCCAAGAGAAATATGCGAGCAATGCACGCATGCGGTTCCCTCAGCTTTTCCCCTATTCTCTTCCTCTTTCCCTATTTTCCTTCCCCCTCTCTTCCTCTCCATTCCCTGGGTTTTTTCCCCACCACTTCCGAGTGGCCAGTCGCACGTTATATCGTTAATGAAAACTGATTCTAGTGTCATTAACGTGCGAGTGCCGGCTCTCCACACCGATTCGAGTGCAACGCGAGCAGTATCTTTCTGCGTCCTTGGGGCATGCCACTGGCCACCTCGACGCCCTGACACTTCCCCTCCTCCTCCCCCCCTTCCCCTCCCCCTTTTCATGTCACTCCCCCTCTCGTTTCCCCACTCCTTTGCCAGCGGGCATGACGAGTCATTTAAACTGATGCGTCGCCAACTGAGTGAGCAACTGATTGCGTCCTGCCACTCCACAGTCTGAAGTCCCCCTCTTCTACCCTCTTACAACCCCTTCACCCCCCGCTTTGGTATTGTCCTACTCGTTACTGAACCCGCTGACGACTTAATGACAGTCATACAAAATACGACAACGGTGCGAAAATTGCAAGGCTTGCCAGCCAGCGAACAACGCTGCAACGCTGCTCCCGATGATTACCTTTTAATGCAAATATAAAAAATGAAGGAACAACATAAAGCGATCGCGGGAAAAGGGAGTCGCTGCAAAAATGCTCTTAATAAATTCCAGGAAATTAGTTCGCATTTTTAGAGGGTCGTTGAATTTTTAAAGAACAACGTTGCTATAAAACCTTGAGTTCTTAAAAAGTTCTAACGCAAAATAATATTCCATTAGAAACAGACAAAATAAACATTAAAAGCGGTTTATTAAAGACATTATTTAATCGTTTTAGCACGCCAACAAATTTTAAATGTCAAGTGGGTTAAAAGGTTGTAATTATTACCTCTCCTAGGAGTTATGAAGTATTTCAACAATCCTTTGTGTTGCCAACATGCAATCCTGCCGAATGAAATCGCTGTTTTTCGAGGCCTGAATTATTGAATAACTGTTTTGATTCGTCCTGTTCGAGTTGATTGACAAGTGCAAGCCGCCTGCTTGAGTCGGACACGCCCCGTAAATCGCAGGGTATAATCAAGCGCGATGGCAGAGGCAAAAACAAAGGCAACCGTCCGACAAGCTGACAAAAAAAAAACAACCAAAAAATAAAGGAAAAACGAAAAATAATACAGGGAAAGCGGAGCGAAGGGGAATCGCGGCATCGGGGATCTGGACAGAGCGCCACTGCCATGCCTTCATGGCATGTGTAAATGACGCTTAAAATTGAAAAATTAAATGAGAAATTATTATGTGTGGCAGCGGGAGAAGTGCGGAGTGTGAGGAATCCCGACAGCCAGTGTATCCTGCCCGCTGGGACATGTGCGTTAATGTGTGTGTGTGTATCTTTGTGTGAGTGCAAGTGTGAGTGTGAGGCGGCGCAGTGTCATTAAATTAATTTGTCAAATATGTATAAAATAATAAATTACCTTTTTGTCAGTTACTCGTTTATTAATTTGTACATGGCAACAACTTTTCGGCGCTGTGCGCAAAAAGGACGAAAAGGAGAAAAAAAGAACAGGACGCGGCGGCAGTGTCCAGAAGTCAACTAGCATAAAAAATTATGATGTGTAAAAAGTAAACACACACGCGGCAGAAAAAGCGAACGGAAAAAAAACAGCAGCAGCGGAAAACTGGTGGGAAAGTGTGGGAAAGTGGAAGTGCGATGGAGAGTGGGAAAATTGGACAAATTGCCTGGCTGCTCATCGTGTATCGTTTAATAGAAACGCCGACGAGCCACCAATATATATATATACTGTATATATATGCACGTCACATGTTTTCGGGGCATTTTTATTTCACAGCTCGGGCCGAAAGTTGAATGATTTATGATTTATTCAATGCAGCGGCCAAAACGATGCCAAAAAAATCGGATTGTGTGACGAGTGACTCTCGTTCTCTGTGTGTCTCTGTGTTTGTTAAATTATTTTTTAATGTGTCTATTAAAAAATCCAACAGCTGCATCAACAACTGCAACTGCAACTGCAGGCAGAACTGGATCGAGCGTAGGACCACACGCCTGTCCGCCAATCGAATCGAGTGGCGCTTTTGGCCAGGTCGGGGATTTGGCGCCGGCATTAACATGGAACCAATATAAATGGCATGCCAAATTGTAGTGGATGAACAAATTTGCCGCTTCATATGCGGAGCGGCAATAAAAACTTGTAGAGCCAAAGCCAAATGCGATTTGGTGAGGCATTTGTTTTAAATTACCCTGGCGTGTAAGTGATGAACTGGTGTGTCTGTGTTTCTATTTATTTTTTTTTTTTTTTTTGGTCCGGCCAGTATAACAGCAAATTGAGCAGTCAACATAAAACAACAAACTGAGCCTTCCTTTTTTTTTTTGGTTGCCGCTCCACCGCCAATCCACAAAAATAAGTGGAGCATTGAACTCGCCTTCGCCAGGGATTTTCCCCCAAAAAAAGAAGAAAAAAATGTAGAGGGCCAGCTCCATGATGAGCCATAAAACTATTGCAGTTATTTGGAGTAGATTGCACGGGCGGCAATACAGGGATACTTATGGGATAAGGTGGGTTTGCGGAATAAATATTTTGGTAAGCGGCCAGAAGGCGATTGCAATTCAGGCCAAAAGCTCCCCGCTAATGCCAACTTATCCAGTAACGAACATAAATATGAGTATGTGAGACCCAGATTTTCCTGCTTTTGCAGCTAAGAACTTGGAAAACTATTGCTTGTTTATTGGGTCAACATAAAAACTAGTATTTTATTTACAGCTTAATCATAAAATATAAGATAAAGTTTATTTAATTTACAAAAACCTTCTGGGCACTTTATACCGATCATCTGGAGACAGATCCACTTGGTAATAGTTAAACACGACGAAGGAGAAAATAAAGTAGAGCACTAAAAAAAATGAAAATAATAATTTAACTTGGTTAATTGTTACTTACACAAAGGAATGATTAGCCAGTGAATAAAGAAGATTCCCATTCCGCAGAAAACTATGGACAAAAACACCAGACATCGGATGCTCTATATACGATAAATGTTGGTAATTAGTTCTGAATCATATTCAAAATGTAGAGATAACCTTCAAAACGCCAATTAAAAGCATGAAACCCGATAAAATAAAGTTTGCTCCACATATGCAACCAATAACCAAAACTGAAACTGGCAGGCTTTGCTGCTTTACGTACTCCATTGCCAGGGCTAAAAAAATAAATAAATGTTCCGGAATTAAATGCAGTATTCAAAAGTTAAAGTATTCGTTTACAATAGTAGTCCGATTATAAGTGAATGACAACTTAGCTTTTAAAATAAATTGAGGTAGCAGAAACTTTTTAAAAGAGATTACTTACGAATAACAGCGAATCCAACGACTATATTAAAGAAAGCCCAGAAAATGCAAGCCCAGTATTTAATGTTACATCGCTTTAAGAAGCATAACTTCTTGCACATTATGTTCGAAAAGAGGAGTACTGATACTCTGATTTTGACACTAAAAGAAAATCATGTTTATACATTTAGCTGTAGTCTTCAAAGAGTAAAATAAAACTAATTTCTATTAAAAGCTGAAGAGCACTTGCTACATCGAAATAAATTAGCGTACACAAAAAACGACTCCAGTTGAGACTTTGGTACATTTGCCTTCGCTTGGACAGTGGTAAAAGTAAGCAAACGATGTCAATCAATTACTGCATTAAACTTTCCCCATTCAGTTTTTCCGGTGAAGCGTGGAAAGTGATCAGAGTGTCGACGGGCAAACAGGTGGAAACCCTTCCGCTCCGTCCACATGTTAACTAATCAAATAACTGAAGCGACACGAAAATACCGAAATGTGGCCATGTCAATGGTTTTGGCCGGCGGCGCTGACAGTGTCCAAATCCAATGCAAACAAAAGTGCAAATGAGTTCCCCGAGTGCGACGCTAAAATGTTTGCCCAAGCCAAAATGTTAATGGTAATGACAGCTCCGAGAATCCGTTAACGAACTACGGGCACGTATCTCCCTGGTTTCCATCTCTCCCCCGAATCCCCATTCCCCGATCCCCCGGAAACTCAGATGAGCCCCGGCTGTCTATTACAATTTCCAACCGTGTGCATCAGCGCCAGAACCGAAAGGCCAACAAATGCCATTAAAAATTGCCACGTGAAATGTTTTCGGAAGCCATTGAGTGAGAGCTGTGTACGTACAATGGCTGACATCCGAATCCTTCTTTCCGCCAACTAAATTAAAATATTTACGGGTAGATCTGCATGTATCCCAATTATACGCGACCCAAAATATGATAGTTAGATGGCCAGACCAGAAAACCAAAACCAACTGAAACCGCACCAAGAAGACAACCCGGCTAAATCCCATAATTAAGCTTGTATGCATGTCCTCATCCTCGTCCTCCATCGTCCTTTCGTGCTCGTCCTTTTTGCGTGCATGTGATGTATTAATTTAGAGAAAACCAACGCCCACCCACTCAACCGAGCGGGAAAAGCAACTACCACATGGTCGACAATGGGAACCGGCAACCGGCAACGGCCACAATTACACCTACAGGATGGCAGAGGGTACACAGGACAATGCCAGGACCTCCCGAAAGTTAAAGAGGAGGGGGTGGGGCATTTTCGGGGGTCCCACGGCAGCAACAGCAAAACTATTTCACAGCTAAAAATGCTGTTATGCGTTTATATTAACACGGATGTGCTCGCACACACGCACACACACGTACACACACACCGCACCGTAATATAAGGACATCGAGTATATTGTGGAGTCGTGGAGCACGGACACGTAGAAAGGTAGAAAGGTAGCCAGCATACATTAGCAGGCACGTAGGATGCAAACTAACTGTGCCATTGGACCAGAAATAGTATCAGCGATACGAATCATATGCGGCATCGCCGAAAACGCAGACCAAGCGCACCAAGCGACCAGGACCTCTCCTCTCCTCTCCTCTCCCACCAGGATATGTACACCGCTCCCTCCGCCCGCTTATCCCATATAGCCACCCGATCCGGACGAACACCCTTTCGGGCAATGCGACTTGTGGAAAGGCATCCGCGTGGGCAGACCGAACACAAAGGGGAAAATTCTGATATTCTGATATCACCTGAAATATAATTATCAAAAACAAGAACGTTTCGAAACTATTCAGAAATGTCAGGTAAACATATAGACATGCCTGCAGTTCTTTGATTATGCATTGGTTTGGTTTATCTCTAATGAATAGAGAAATATGATACCATTGACTAACAAAGGAAGATTATAATTAATGTGTTATGAATGTGTGCCATTATTCATAGAACTCAAATATTCATATGAACCTTCCACAAAAAAGGTCATAAGCTTGAAACAACTAAATACTGTTTCTATGCAGATAAAATTTTGGCTTGGATAAATAATAGATAATAAGTTCATCTATGGAATATTAAATCCCTCTTTGAATTAAATTACATGAACTAAACATGGTTCTCTCTGCGTTTTAAATGTTTATTCAATTCTTATCTTTACTCTTACTTAATTTAAGCTTTAAATAATAATAAATAAATAAATTAAGAATACAAAATGCGTTCTATAAATAACCAAACATTTTGTTGACGAACTTTTGAAGATTCCCTCGCAACGTGCAAGTTTCGTCACACGCTAAACAGTTGGCAAGTATTAGAAGGACTGAGTTGGGTGACTCGTGGATCGGGGATCGGGGGGTTGGGGGGTTCGGGGGTTTGGGGATTGGGCAGGAATACCATGGAGAGGGTTTTGGCTGAAGCCGTAGGTGGAGATGTATCCTTTGTGCCTGCACGGAGCGTTGGCAAAAGTTAGTTACGAGTGCGAACAATGATATTACGTAAAATATTTTGAAACTGCTGCCGTTGTCGACCTGCTCTCAGTTTCGCTGTTTTCTCCTCGCTTGTATTTGTGCCATGTGTGCGTGTGTGTGGGTTTGAGTGTGTGTGTGAAGGATGTGGGTGATACGTGGCCGTTGGTTGAAGAAGGGGCGTGAAGAGGGGGCGTGGCCGTGGGAGTTTCTGCGGCCATGTGGCATGTGACAGCAAAGCGCTGCTGACTCCGGCTCCACCTTTGCCGTAATTGTGTCGCATGTGACCCCTTCGCTCGGAGGATGGCACCCTTTACTCGCAACTCGCAGAAGGACAATGAGTGGGGCTGAGTGCAATAACCACAATTTCAGATTGAGACGGAGCAATCCCCGAACCTTAAACCCCATCCACAATTCCTATCCCCATTCCCATTCCCATCCTTACTCCAATTCTCGTAGCCTAAGCGTAAGCTCATTACGTTTTGGCTTTGTTTTGGACTAATTAAATTTGAATGACTATTTTCACTTAAAAACTTTTTGCCCCAGTGGTTGGTGTTGGTTGGGGTTGGGCTTGTTGTTTTGTTTTTGCCTTCATTTTGCGTTTTTGTGCTTGGCGATGGCGCCAGGTTTTGTGTTCAAACGCTGCTGGGGCTGACTGCTTCTGCCTGAAACTCTTGAGTGAGCCATAAACAATGTGGCTCACTGGCTGGCTGGCTGACTGGCTGGCTGGCTGACTAGTTGGCTGGTTGGCTAAAAACCCAAAACGCAGCCACCGCCCCCCAAAAATGCCAAAGTGTCGCACGGGTGTCACACAAAATATTAGAAATGATACTTAACCACAGAATTGCAGAGCTTTCGCTTTTGGATCGAGTGGGCGGGGAGTTAATTGTTTGCGGGCCAACCGTTTTGGCCCCCTTTTCTCCCCCCTTTTCTCCCCTTTCTGCTCGCATCCCAAATGCCAAACTGTGAAATTAGCAGCCGGGCCAAATGGCAACCGGAAACGTGCCGCAAGCCGGATATAAGCAACACTGGCTGCACCACCAAACATCCAAAGGGGATGATTTGCCCCACTGCCAAGGGAATTGACAGCAACAATGGGCCAAAAAACGGAAAATATAAAAAAAAAAACCCTTTCAATTTAAATCAAAATTGCTCGGTCGGCTGACCTCAAATACAATTCATGATTTTATTAGCAGACCAATAGATGATTCGCGTATTTAAAACTTAATGCAATCGCTTTCACATTTGCTTTCCGCCTTTTCATTTGCGGTCGTAAATAGCCCATGGGATAAAGGATATTAATGGATTTCGATTCAGCCAGCCAGCCAGCCAGCCTGGCTAGCCATAATATCTATATAGTATTTAAATGCAAAGCGAAATGAAAATAAAGGATATTAATAATAAGGAATAAAGCCGCCGACAAACAATGCATAAATAAATAAAATCTACAAACGTGTGTCTCCGGATTCTCGGAAAGTCCGGACTTCGGACTCCGGACAGATTCCCGGACCAACAGACAGACGGACTTTTGGACTCTGAAACGGGGCGTGGCAGAAAATCAATAACAACATAACATTGTTCGTCTGACCAGCAAAAACGACAACTACAACTACAAAAGGCCACTTGATTGTGGTGCACAAAAATTTAATTGTGCTCAATTGAAATGAAATCAAATGAAATTTGCGTGCAATTGTGTCTATTGTTCTAGTTACGGGTGTTTGGAGCCGTAATATCAATATCTGAAATTACCCAAAGTGTTGGGAAAGAAGGTTATAGAAAATAAAACCAAACATTGATGGAAACATAAAAACCGAACGAGAATAAAATCATTTTACCTGCAATACGATGAACTTAGCAAGGGCTATTTTCATTTCAATTTATATTTGGAAAGGGATTTTTTTTTAGTAAATGGACTTCCCATAGATTAGCAAACAAAGATTTAAGATCATAGGAACACATACGAATATCCTCTGCCAATTTTCCCGATTGCAATCATTTTGGATGAGTACTTCTATCTTTCAACGATGCCAGTCCAATCGATTCGAATGAATTTGTGGTTTTCCTCGATGGCATTAAGCTCAACCTTTTGCTGTTCAACCAATTTAATATCCGTCATTCTTTTCCCTTTAAAAAGGCCGAGCACGTGTAGCTGTGTCGGCCGTGTTTTTCCTCCGGTTTTTGGTATGGGATCAGGCCGCATTGCTGGCGGCAACATCCAACTCGTTACCAAAAAGCTAAACCGTGCAAAATCAAATAAAAAGCTATGGTAATTGGCTGTCGGTTGTAAAATTTTACAATCATTTTCCAGCGTTGCGTTGCGTTGCCCGTTTTGTGGTTGAACTAGGGAAAGTTTGTTTTTGACAAACTAAAGCAGAACGCGAGTGTGCGAGTGTGTGTGTGCGTAAATACATAATGCGGCACGTAAATGCGCATTAACAGGCGTTGCAGGCACTCAAACAGACAGACAAACACACACACATACGTATGTAGAGAGAAAGGAGGGACAGGCAAGTATGGCAATATCAATATCCGTGGGTCTGATTAAAATGAAATATGAACATTAACCGCATTTGTTTAAATATACATCGAAACCGCACACACTGCGTGCAAACACTCACACCACGAAAACAGCATGGGTATAAAGGCTTAACTAGGCGACTGCGGCTATTTGGTTGCGCTGAGATAATAGACAAACACACAAAACTGCGGACAAGAACATTTAATAATGAAATTGAATTTACAATTATTTTTGTTTTGTTTGCCAACGCACATACCCACACACACACACACATAGAAGAGCTCAA